ATAATAATTTCAGGAACTCAATATTTTGCTTGTCTTCGGATATGAACCTTGTTGAGCAATGTGTCCCAAAAGTCATGGATCAAACGGGAGGGGGCGATAGGGGGGTCTGTAATAATTTTAGCGTTCGTAATTGTTTGATGTACCTTTTCCATGCGTTCGAAAAAGTAAATCCTTCTGGCACGTCAGAAGTGCGCTTTTCTTCTCTTGTTCAAAACCTTGGAAATAAGGGTGTTGTAACTTGTCATTCTTGGGGTTTATTGTCTGTTTTCTGTATTTTTTTAAGAATGACACTGGGATATAACCCATCAACCAGAAACAAGTTATATACCATATAATAAGAATATTATGATCAAAACATTTTCGTAGAGAAAGCATCACGAGGAAAACTAATCTAGTATGACAGGAGAATAGGAAATTTGAGGTATTCGACAGGGTCACACATTCTTCTCGCCCGGTCAGAAGGATGAACATACATATATCGAAAGGACAGAGGAAAAACGCTAAAACTTATATAGGTAACACTATAATTTATAACCATTAACCCTGTCTGGATGACGGATAAAGGGAGACAAAGAGAATAAATTGAATTATTTTAGCGACTCTAGATTTTGATACCAGAATTTTTGATGAATTCCATAAAGCAGGAAGTCACTTCAGGTTTTTGTAGCGAGAGAATTTATTGGTAAAGATCGTCACAGTGTGTAAGATGCTTAATACAACCGAAAAAGATGTGATTGAAGTCTCCTTTCTCACAAAGTTTCGAGGGTATTAGTTTCAACCTAGCGAGGTGCGTTCAACCATACGAGTAATGCAGGATATGTACTTCCTCGGAATCTTAAAGTTATCATGCCAATATAATCGAGGTATATCTGGTTGGATGGAAGTGTATCTGGAAGGATGGGATGAGCAATATTTTTTCCATTCCTGGGACCAGGATTCAAACATCTGTTTTTTGAAAAAGCAGTTGTTATCTTCTACCGATGGAGTGACTTGAAGTACGATGCCATCTGTGATGCTCAGTCTAGTCAATTCATCTGCTCTACTATGCCCTTTGATCCAGTAAAGATGGATGTCTGCATTAACAGATTTCAGATCGAGCAACACTTGTTTGAGAAGGAGAACATAGATATTGATAGGTGACTTGCAGTCATTGATGTTTCCTAAGGCTACACAGGACAGATTGTGAATCGGAAAATATTACAGCTTTCTGGATGTTATTGAATTGGATATACTGTAATGCTTGAATGATAACCATAGCTTCGGCAAAGAATTTGGTGAACAAATCTGGTAGTTTAAACTTTGCAGAAAAATCATCATCAACAACGTAGAAAGCACATCCTGAACCGGAACTAGACTTAGAAGCATCCGTGAAGATATGTTTATAATCATTGTGACTATTGCATATGAACAAGAGGATGGTTTTATTGATATGAAAATTGTTACCGTAACTGGGAATAGTTATGTAATTATTTTTCATAAACTGGAATAGATCAATATCGTCTGTGGTGTTGAGATTTTTGAGAGCTATTAGATCTAGATTTAGTTACTGGAAGGCTGCACATAAAGGAGGAGAATGTTTCTTCTACCAGTACTTATCAGTGGGATCAAAAGTGTTCAGCTGGCATATTTTTGTAATGAGTAGTGTATCCTGTGATATTTGTTTGAGAAGGAATTTTTTGTGAGCATTTCCCTACGGAGATGGAGTGGTGGTTTCAAAGCTTCAACCCTCAGCGCTTCGGTCGGAGAGGAGCACATTGCTCCCAAACAAATCCTAATAAATTTCTTTTGGATTATATTTAATTTACGGAGCAGTGCTTTTGAGGCTGTTCTATACAAAATGGAACCATAATCAATAATTGACCGTATATAAGATCTATAAAATAAAATGGCAATTTTTTGGTGGACACCCCACCAAGTTTTAGCGATCAGACGAAAGAAGTTGAGGCCTACATTGCAGTTCGTAATAATATAAGAGATAAACTGTTTTCAACATAACTTTCTGTCAAGAATGACACCAAGGTACTTTACTTCGGAGACAATATTCATACATATGCCCAATAATTCAACATTTGTCACTCGTGTCCATTCTGTGGCGTGAGAAAAAGCAACCGATTTAGAATTGGAAATTATAAAACCGTTGACGTTGAACCATCTGGAGTATTCTATCATATCTCTATTCAAAGTTCGTACGCACTGTTCTGTCGTTTTTCCTTCAATGTAGATACAGAAATCATCAGCGTACTGTATAAGTTGAACTTCTGTATCAATGGAGTGGATGTCGGCTGTGTATATAGGCCTGTGAATGAGACTCTAGGACCCAGACATTGATTATTATGGCCTCTCATATATACTATTGGAGTATAAATTAGCTATCACATAGCTCGTACGAGCAGGAATACCATACTTTTTCATTTCATATCTTACGCTGTGTAGGTCGATGTGATCGTAGGCACCGGTTATGTCTATAAAGGTTGCAGCCAAATAATTTTTCTTTTCTTTATTTGATTACCGAAAAGTGCTCAAAATTGGCAGAATATAGAGTTCCTTATAATAAGTATAATGGTCGCAGAAAACTTGGTTAGGCATTAGTCGCCTGTCATCAAGTGTCATCACATGACTGTAAAAATTTAGGCATCCTGAAAACAAACTTTCCAGATGATATTTTCATCTGTCAATCTACATTCCATTTCTGTGTACGGTATTACGTTACCAAGTGATTTACAAACGCTTCCTAGAAAAACCATGAATTTCCTTATCCGACTGTGCAATCAGGTTCAAAGGATATGTTGTTGAGAAAAAGCTATTATATTGTTGTACACATGTCAGTTTTATTGAAAAAAACATCGTCAGACCGACATTGTCATTGATTGATTATCTATGTCCGAAATGAAAGTAAAAGCACATACCATCTGCAAAACTGATTTTATGAATTTCATCAGAAAGTTTGACCTGGAGCTAAATGTTTATCTGTCGATTGCAACTTTATTCTATGATTCTTTAAATTTTTGTTTGCCTTTTCGAGTACTTTTTGACAGAATAATTACACGAGTAGTATTTAAAATTCATAGAATAAAAAATATACTTTCTTATTTCCATAGCCATTTTTGAATAGTCAAAACCTGGTGATATCAAAACATTCATGATTTTTTAACATTTTTCAAGCTCGAATTTCGAAAATCAACAAGCATCTTATTTCTGGCTCCTACTTGGTTATATCTTTCTCCATTCCTTTCCCAAGTCAAATCTGTAAACCATCCCACGCCGTCTACCTGTCAAAGTTCTTTATTATAGTCATATTATCTTGTTACCGACAAAATACGCCGTTTTTAAGAATTTGGTCCAGCAATGCTGACATTTAACTTCTAATCCACCATGTTTTTTTCTGGGTGGCACTATCCTAGCAGTATCGTAGCAAAATGTATAATGCTCGCTTAAAGGTTAAAAACTAGATTTGCGTTTACAAGGATTGACTGCTTTCTTGGAACCGATCTGATTCCAGTTGACAGTCCCAAAATCAATGTTTTAGTAAATGACATCAAATAGATTTTTCGTTCACTGATGCAAAAAATGGATTTTAAAACTTTTTTAGTAGTATACAGGATACTGGAAGTTTTGGAAGAATTTACAGTAGGTTTAACATCTTTCAAATCATTTGTTAGTTGTGCATATCAAATATATTTCTCATTTTTCAAAGTAATACCACCAAACGAGAATTTCGGAGCTAAACTGCTTGTTGTTATTTTTGTGACTACGTCACTGTTGACCATTGTGTCACAGTGAAGTATAAAAAACACATCCGAATCATGTATTCCCCAAAATCAAATTACATATGCGCGTTGTTGGTTGTCGGTTTTCGACAAGCCTTTCCTAATTTTACGACTGTATAGGATCCTGGGAACGTGAAGAAATTCTAATTGGAACCGGAAAACAGGCAATTAGTTTTAATTACCGCACACGAATCAGCATTTTTCTTTTTGATTAGTCATTCTTCGTCGACGCCTAAGTCCAAGCGACTTGGTCTGCGGTACACCAACGAAAATTCTTTACCAAAGAAATAGACCTGCTTTCCACATCGACAAATGCGGTGGAGACTTCCGACTTCAGTTTTTTGTTCCTAGTTATCGATTTAGCATCAATCATTCCATGCGACACTGTTTAAATGATGTTAGATTATAATCTGATGTTTTTGAAAATGGTTAACCATGTCAGTGTCTTTTCATAGATTTGAAAGCCTGATTTGATACAGTTTTAAGGATGCCCCGCATTTTTTTCATATACTCGTAAATCCTTATACGGAACAAAAATATTGTACATGTCCCAAAACCTGAAAAAAAAAATTACCACAGAGATCGTATAAGTTTTTGGATCCTAGGTGTTATATACGTAATCTGCTTCCTGGAGAGCTACAACAAACAAAATCTTAGGGCTTCACTATTTGACTTGATTTTCAAGCTTCTTTACTCGAAAAGAATTACCAATGTACATATCAAGTCTAGTAGTTTTTACGTCACGTACTGGAAAATTCAAACAGTCTGGATATTAACTGATAATTTTAGTAATATAAATACAAGTAGAATATATTGTGACAAGTTACAAAGAAAACAACACATATTGAACAAAATAAAAGAACCATAAAACTGTAAGTTCAAATAGAAAAAAAAACATTTGGGAATACATTTTCATGCCTTTTCCTTCACTCGTGCTTATTTGCATTAAAATAAAAAGTTCGGTTCACCGGTTGTACAAATAAATATCACTGAAGCCCTTTAGTAGAACAAAAATATAATTTACCATGAAGTATCAAGTAGTCAAGCATTAACTTTCATTTCGGCTGGGAAAAAGCTGGGCTATTTGTTTAGGGCTAAGAAGTAATTTTCTCCACACGAACTCGTCACTCTGTACAAGGCAAAATATACAGCTTGCTACTATTCATTTGTTTTTGTAATTAATTGGTTAGAGTACACCAGACATCATTTAATAAATTCAATTTTCTATTCCAGCTAGCACAAGCGTTGAGGAATGCCTTGCTAAACAGCAGGTTTGTGGACAGGAAAGGAACACCATGTGGCTGCTAGACATACCACAAACACAACATAACGGTAAGTTCTGGCTCGTACTTCAATTAAAACTATTATACGTGAATTAATTATTTGCTAGTCACTTTTGTAGCTCAAATAATTGAGAACGGAACACGCGATTCCTAAGCGGTCCCACCACCACCCCGGTCCAGGTACGCTCACACGTGGCGGCACGTGGACTGCTTCCGCAACCTCCGCGTGGCCCGACTCATCAGCGTCTCGGTAGGCCATGTGTTGTGCGTGACCTGCGGTCTGCTACAACGTCTCCTCATGTGTTTCAGTCTCTGGGAACGCCGGGTTGGTTCCCTTTACCTCGCACAGTTCTATCGATGTCGTTAAGCGAGCATCGATATAGGTTTGCTATGTTCTCTTGAAACTCTTGTTTTCGAAAAATCAAGAGTTTCAAGTCCTCTACTACTAGTATGGTACCTGGTCCTGGTTGGTCCTGGTCCTGGTTGGTCCTGGTCCTGATGGGTCCTGGTCCTCCTGGTGGTTCCTGGTCCTGATGGGATCTGGTCGTGGTCGTCCTGGTTCTCGTCCTCTGGGGGGGGGGGGGGGGGGGGTGGCGGCGGTCAACCGCGGGTTCTCCTAGTCTCCTGGTTCTGCGGTTGCGAGGCCTCTCGTCCGGATCGTAGTCCATGAGGAATCTTAGCTGCTCGTTCGGGTGGTCCTGAGCTTTCTGGAAGGTCTTCTCCGCTTTTTTCCTCATGTACTCGTGAATGGTGTCCCAATGCAGGTCTCTACGCAAGGTTCAGTTTCTTACGTAGGATGGTGCGCCCCCCCAGACCGCGGAGGCGAAAGCGAGCTGAGGTCTGGCGATGGCCTTGATCAGCCGTAGCTTGGTCGCTAGCGGCATCCGGCTGTGTCTACCCAGTAATGTGTATAGTTGGGCCATGGCTGCTCTGGTCTTTGCGATGACAGCTTCTATGTGGTCTTTACAGGTGAGGGACTTGTCAAATACGATCCCCAGATATTTGACTTTGTCGCTCCACTGGATATCTTCGTCGAAGATGGATGCTTCGAGAGGTCTTGCAATCCTTCTTCGTTGGATGAAGATTGCCTGCGTCTTCTGGACGTTGATGCGGATTTTCCATTTCTCGCACCAGTCCTGGATGTGGTCCAGTTCATCCTGTAGTCTCCTACGGATGATCTCGGGTCGTCGACGCTTGGCGGCTATAGCAGTGTCGTCTGCATATAGGGCCAGCATTGTGTCAGCTGTCTTCGGTACGTCGCGAGTGTAGATGTTGTAGAGCAGGGGGGCTAAGGCTGACCCCTGGGGCACGCCTGCTTCCAGCTGTCGTCTTGTTGACTGTCATGTACCAATCTTCACCGTGAACCATCTTTGTGTTAGATAGCTCTGGATCAGTTGGCACATGTTTGCATCGATTCCGGCGGCTTCCATTTTGGCGATGAGTCCATTGTGCCAAACTCGATCGAAGGCTCGTTCCACGTCCAGCAGGACGAGGCCGGTTGCCTCCTGGAGATTGAAGCCACTCTTGATGTTTTCTGTCAGTCGTAGCGCTTGGAGTTCCGTGTTGTGGGAGGATCTGAAGCCTAATCGCTCTGGGGGGAAAAGTTCCAGTTCTTCTGCCTGCTTCTCTAGTTGAACGGCGATAGCCTTTTCGACTACTTTGCCCATCGAGGAAACCAGGCTGATGGGCCGGTAGTTCTGGGGCAACTTCCGGTCCTTGCCTGGCTTGGTGAGCATTATAACCAATATAACTTTTGTAGCTCAAATAATTGGGAAAGGAACACGCGATTCCTAAGCGGTCCCACCACCACCCCGGTCCAGGTACGCTCACACGTGGCGGTACGTGGACTGGATGCTTCCGCAACCGGTATTCCTATCATACGCAAACCCCACCCCTTCACCAGCTCTGCCCTTTGAAGTTTCGCTTTTCCCTCCTTGGAATTTCGCCCCTCCGAAATGTGGTGTAAGCTAATCTCGATGCGTACGCAAGGTTAAGGAACGGCAGAGGTCATTTATACTGGTGCATTTAGGTATTCGTCTATTTGGGGCTCCATCGGTGGGACCTTGACCTGATGTCCGCATTAAGGTTTCCCAAGACGTGAGTTGCCTGCTTGTTAGTGTTATCCAAATACCCCCATCTCAAACAAAGTCGGTGCATTCAGCATGGTAAATCGTCGCCCTCTGACCACCGGCACTGCACAGGGCTTTGCCTTTTTTGCACTAAATAATTGGGGAGTGTTAAGTCGAGCAGATATAATGCATTTATCATATACAGACAGTTCAGATCACAGGACATAGCTCGCGTCCACTGATTTACCAGAGGACTTTGCTCCTCTGTACTTTCATTCATGATGCTTCCGCAAGTTGGGCTGAGGTCATAAGCTTTCCAGTCTCACTGTTTATTTGTTTTAAAAGCCAGTCATGATTCGTGTTATTCTCTCAGACCGCAAATAGGAGCTATATAGTGTCTAATTTTTACTTCCTACTCCACGGGGCGAGGAAGTATTGTAATTGTGAAAAATTTCGAAAATGCAATATTATGGTTTTTGGATATAGATCACGAAAAATCATGTCACTCTTTTTCGTCGATCTGTCCGTCCGCTGGTCTTTGGACCGCCTATAACTTGGGAAGTACCACTCAGATTTGTTTGAAATGTTCACATAATGTCACTACTATACCAAGGACAAAAAGGCTTTATAGTTTTTGAAAATCGGCCCAGTGGCAGCGGAGGTAGGGGCAAAAACACGAAAAAAATGAAAATGAACCAAACTTCGTTTTTCGATGTTTCAGACGCTTCTGGTCATTTTTAGAAAAATTTTTGTGGGGATTGAATTATTTACGCTCACCGCCCGGCGTACTGGTCCGGCTGACTAATCTATCCGTACTGCAGTGCGCAAAACATATATATATATATATACAGGGTTTGTCCGGAAAGTAATAGGACTGAGTCGATTTAAAAAAATTTATTGAGCCAATCGCTGCAATTCTTTAAAAACTTCCAAAATAGGCTCCTTCTGCGTCGCTGCCAGCGCGATTTCCAAGCATTGAAGGCGTCACGGAAGGCATTCTCCGGAATAGCTTTGAGAGCCGCGGTGCATGCTGCTTGGATCCCCTTTGTCGTCTCAAAATGCTTGCCTTTCATCGGCCTTTTCAGGCGAGGAAAAAAAAGTTCGGGGGGCCACATCTGGGGCTGTAGGGCGGCTGCGGAAGCGTTGGGATGCCGGCCTTGGTCAGGTAACTGTTCATAAGAAAGGCGGTGTGAGCCGGGGCGTTGTCGTGGTACAACTTCCAGTCAGCTGCGATGTCTTATCGGACCCGACTGACCCTTCGTTTGAGTCTCCTGAGCACTTCCACGTAAAACTTGACGTTGACGGTTTGTCCAGGAGGAACAAATTCATGGTGGACGATGCCTTTGATGTCAAAAAAGACAATGAGCTTCGTTTTCACTTTGGATTTGCTCATTCTTCCCTTTTCCGGGCGGGGAGACGCCGTCGTGTGCCACTCGGAAGATTGCCTCTTTGTCTCGGGATCATACTCAAAGATCCACGACTCGTCACCTGTGATTACGTTATTCAAAAATTGAGGGTCACCTTCACACATGCTCAAATTTTCTTGGGACACTTCCACTCGCCGCAATTTCTGGTCGTCAGTGAGCACTTCTAGGACCATCTTCGCGCACACCTTGCGCATGTTCAAATGCTGTGTCACAATGTCATGAACCACAGATTTTGGTAAATTTAACATCTGGGCAATTAAACGAATACTTAGTCGACGGTCTGAGTTCAAAACTTTGCGCACACGAGTCACATTATCGGTGTTTATCGAAGTCGAAGGTCTTCCAGCACCGTCTTCATCAGCGACCTCTTCCCGGCCCTCCAAAAAAGCCTGGTGCCGCCAAAACACACCACTTCTTGCTAAATCAACACCTGGGTAAGCCTGCTTGATCATATCAAACGTCTCTATCGCAGATTTACCGAGTTTCACACAGAATTTAATCGCGTACCTCTGCTCTAACGAACGCTGCATTTTCGGCTTGTACCACTCACAGAAACACCTCGCGCGAAAATGCCTGTCCTGACTCTCCAAGTGCTCGGAGACAACTGACCAGCCGCTCATTCGTTAGGTAGGAACGCCCTCTACCGAATCCAGTTGGAGCGCGCACGCTCCGAAGTACAGTCATGGCGGAAGAAAATGAGTCCTATTACTTTCTGGACAAACCCTGTATATGCGGAATGAAGCAGTGCCGCGGTGGGCAATCGACTCTCGCCGCGCATATGTGGAAAGGGACAACGTTGCCAGTTGGAACGTAACTATCGGTAGAGAGGGAAAATAATATCTATGGACTAATTGTATAGGCGTGTTTGACTGACTTAATGCGTTTAATTTCGCTACTGTAATTGTTCGGGACTGACTTTTTTCTCAGAGGATTTAAATTTTGCTCATCTTTCTCCGTTACGACTGATGACGGCGTTGCCACATATTTGCTGTCATTTTTCAGTATCAGGATCCAAACATTTGACCTAAGTAAATATTATATTTATTTACTTTACGGGGGATCTTCTACTATTTTTCCAGCGGATGTTATTTCGTATAATGCTGTCATAAGAATGTTGGTACACTAGTTTCTTATTGTTTTAGACTGTGAAAAATTGCTGTGCTTCCGGTATTACGATGGTACGACTCTGGATTACATCGCTCAGTCCGATTCGTTGATCATTAAACATCCCGTAGACAAATTGAAGAAGTTCATTAGGGCGCGGAAACATCAACATCAGAAATGCTCAGGAATGGAGAACGATGGTTTCCAGGATGAACAGGATACTGTGATACAAGAGAAGGTAAGAGTTCGCATAAAAGAAGCTGCAAAGTTTAAAAATATCAGTAATATCAAATCATCTAATTCTTGGCTACTTTGAACACCTCTGACCCTTTTTTTGTTTTGATGCAAAATTGCCCAGATTTGAAAAATAGTGTTTTTACGGTTTTCCAGGGAGATGCAAGTAATCTTACGAATTGGCCGATGATTGAAAAAATAAATATTAATCACAGAGAAAGAAAAAATAATCAGAAAATTAATATACCGAAATTGATATGAATCGGAATTTGTTTGTTTTAATTTGAACGTCAGTCGAATTTTCGTGGTAACATCATATGGTATAGCCTGTCCAAACTCATACACTACGGGTCTTGCCAGTAGATTTCCATGAAAGGTTTATGTCCATGTTCAAAATGTATGTCGCTTACACTTTCTTAATTCGCATACTGCAGTAATACATGATGAATTTTAAAACATTTTCTCTTAAACAATAGTCGGTAATATGTTCTTGTTTATGTATCTTTTAAACAGAATTTCGTGCAGCAGTTTTGCAACACTTGAATTTTGTGCTTCATTTCCTCCGTAAGAAAATTATAATATACTGTAGCGCCATAGTCTAAATGAGTGAGGATTAGTCCATTGGTGAGTCTTAATTTTTTACCACTGGTTAAAACATGTTTCTGTATCCAAAGTGACTTATATTTACAATAGCATTATCGAAGCTTGTTTATTACATGGTTCTCAAAACTTAAATTTGAGTCCAATAAAATTCCTAAATTCTTAGTTTCCTCCACTTCACGTTTGTATGTTTGACAGTTTTTGGGCCCGGTCAAAACAATTATTTGGAGAAGTCAAACTTTGAAACAAAATTTCGAAATTTATTTTTTACCGTTCTTTAAGTTTCTTATCACTTTAAGGCAAGTTTAGAGGATTTGTGAAGTAAGAATTTTCACTCTGTACGTATGGAAGGTTTCAAAATAGACGTATATGACTGCGTAAAAAGTACTGAATAAATCTATTTTGATAGTCATTATTTAAATGGGTGATAGAGGGAGGTTAAAAGAAGCTAAAAGTTTCATATAACAAACGGCATTTTTTAGAGAAAAGCGACTTAAAAGTAAAATAAAATCTGACAACGCCGCAATGCCAGACGCAAATTGCGACGGAACGCAGCGTAAATGAAGATGGAGTTTGTAATATTTTTGGCTCTTAGGTATTATTTCATTATTTGATAATGTACTCGTAAAATGCAAACAATTAAAAAAACGGACTTATCACTAAATGTCTCAGAGCTTCACCAGGTGTGTGAAAGTTTATTGAACGTATTAAAAAAATACACTTATAAATAGGGGACACAATTTTGATACATACATTGTTTTTCTTTTTAAAACCCACACTGCACTTTTTGTATTTAAAGAAGGTTTTCAAAATGTCCTCCTCCACTTTCCACACAAGCTTCATTACGACTAACCCAGTTTCTTCTTACTCTAGGTCTTCGAAGTTGTCCATTTATTAATTCAGCCGCATTAAAATTTTTTTCGCGAAGTTGTGCTTCAGTTGTTATTGGACCAGCCCTAAACAGCATACCTTGAAGTTCTCCCCGATACCAAAAATCCATCGGATTGAGGTCAGGAGATCTTGCTGGCCATTTTCAAGGATCAGGAGCATTTCGACCGATCCACCGATTTGGATAATGATCATTCAAATACTGACGCCTCTAAAAATGTGTGGTGGTGCCCCGTCATGAAGAAACCACAAATTCTGTCTCCGTTGTAATGGCATGTTGTCTAAGGTCTGTTCCAAAAGTTCTGGTAGGTTATTGGCTAGAAAGCTAAGGTATTCTTCTCCTGACAACTTTGGAGGTAACTCGAAAGGGCCAATTACCTGATCGTCAAGAATACCCGCACAAATATTTATTTTAAAACGTTGTTGGAAATGACCTTCACGAATGGTATGAAGATTTTCTTGGGCCCACGTGTGATTATTATGGAAATTTAATATCCCGTCTCTAGAATGTTTTTATAAAAATCCGGATTTTCAATGTTTTTGACCAAAAACCACTGACAAAATGTTAGTCTGCGAGGATAGTCTTCTGGTAACAAGGCCTGCACTCGTTGTCGATTTCCACGATATTTAAAATTTATTCCTCCTGCTCTACAGTAACCTGTCTTTCACGAGTGCGAATATTAGTAGGCTGAACACTTCCTGTATCTCGAAGTCTTTGGTACACTTGCACAAATGTCGTTCTGTCTGGATGCGTACCCGTTGGCGAAGTCTGACGCGATAAATTTGAGCTGCAAGATTTGAATTCTGACGAGCTTCACCGTAAACTAACAACATGTCGGCGAACTCTTGATTCGAGAACATTGTAAATAAACACGACGACGTACGCGAACAAAAACAAAACAACACGCCCGATGCTCTGCTCGACAAAATGCTAAAGCAATTTATCTATAGTCAACGCCAAACAAAGTGGCGTGCACGTCATCAAGGTGGGTGTGTTGAAAAACTTACATTGTTGCCAAACTTTTTGTAAAATAATAAAATTTATTATTTACATATCTAGGTTTATAAGCAATATTAACCTCAAATGAGAACAAAAATAATAGTATAATAAAATTATAGATCTGTACTTGCATAATCATTAAGTATGACAATTATTGATCAGATGACACTATGAAACTACCATATTTAATTGATAGCTTAATGGTAGTGAATAAAAATCCAAATGGGGTCCTCCAAATTTTATGCATGGTATTTATTTTACAGAATTCATACAGAAAAATGCATTCTAAAATTAGGTAAGCTACTGGTGTAAGCTTTTTCTGTACAATAAAGTTAGTCGGAGTTTCTTTCTTCAGCGCTGTCTGAATCTGAATCTTCATCACTCTCAAAGTTGATTATTAAAGGTTCGATGTCTGGTCGATCAAAAATTCGTTCTCTTTCATACCATTTAAAAATTTCTTGCTCAGTATGTCGGAACACTATTTTTCCACATGTCTGGGGTAACCGTTTGTAGAGCCTCGTTCCACATATCCAAACAGTCTTTTTCACTGTTACCATCTCTACCAATATGTCTGTTATAGTAACCTTTTGCTATGCCCCAAATTAACTCAATAGGGTTAAATATACAATGGTAAGGAGGCAGACGCAGAACTTTGTGCCCATGTTGTTCCGCCAATTCATCAATCACGTATATTTTAGGTGGTTTGTTTCTAAAAAAGCAGTTATTTTAAGAATAGGAATAAACAAAAGAAATATAAACTGTCCACCAAAATATATATAATTAAGAAGCATTATGTACCGAGCAACAATACTCAATAGCTCTGTTTTAAACATTGTGTTTAAAAATGGTATGTTTTGATTTGTCAACCAGTCTTGGATATTTTTTTTGTCCATGCATTGTTGGGCACTTTGTTCAATATCATGCTGTGATAAGGGGCGTTATCCAGTATAATCATAGATGGACTCTCCAATTTTTCTAATAACTGATGTTGAAACCATTTCAAAAAATTGTCCTGGTTCATCTCTCCATGGTAATCGCTCAATTTTGTTTTCGAAGAAAATATCGCTTCACTACCCTCAATAAACCCATTTTCATTTCCAGCATGTAATATAATGTATCTAAAATATATTAGTTTTAAATTTTATAGTGCAAATTGTGTAAAAGTACATACCTTTTACCATCTGTTTTAATAGCTTTCACGCTTTTTTGGTTTCCATTTTGCCAAGAGCGACCTATGGTCCCATTTTGAAATATCCAAGTTTCATCGAGGAAGACAAACTGGTATAAGGCCTCAACCTTGGCTTGATTGTATTGCCTTAGAAATTCCACCCTTTTCAAAGCTATACTTGGTAGTTCCATGAGCCCTCGTCGCGGATTGTCCTTAAGCCACTTAAATCCAAGATCTCTAAGCAACCGCCTTAAAGACGTGGCACTACCATCAAATAATGCCCTATCTCTTAATCGAGACCATAAAGTTTGTATCGTAACTTGTTCTTCTGAAACCATGTGTAATATGACATTATAATTTAGTTAACAAATTAATGCAAATTTCTGATAAGTTATTATAATAAGATCTTACGTTTGTGATACATATTATAGATCACTTCTCGAATGGCACTTGTATCCAATGTCGCTGTGTTGGTTACACGTTTAATATAACTCCGCTTTTTCTTGGGCGATTCTAAATTTGCATCACTTTTCACACCCTCGGAAATACGACTAACTGTCCTTAAACTAATTTTTAAAGCAGCAGCAACACGCTACAAAAAATGAAATAAAATTTCACTATTATTAATATACATTACATATAATTATTAGTAACTTACCTCTTGAACAGCATTTAAAGGCAACAAAGGCCCGTTGTTGTCCCTTTCTTGCTCAAAGTAGTGCATTAACGAGGCCACGAGTTCCTTACACCGACTATTTAACTGTTTGGGCATCTTTATATACCAAAATTGCCTTTATCTACTCGTAAAATGAATAATTTTGTTTTGAAACAAACAGTTGTTGATTTACAGTATGCGGGGCCAAAGGATTTATAAAGATTTGAAATGCCACAAATTGATTCAGTGTCAAAATTAATACAAATGTCAGTTCCCAGTTTAAATAAGTTTCAAGGTGACAATGTGTCAACGCTGCGAAATCGGTTTAGTGCGTTTACATGTCGATAAGTGATTGGAGCGTTTGCAAAACATTCTATTTCGCATAATGCGTCTAAATTTATCAGAAAGCAACTTATGTATATTTTAATAACAATGTTTATATGACTATTAACCATAATAAGAGAGTAATGACCATTTTACAATTTATATATCACATTAATATGAAACTGCAATAGAGCAATTGTTTGTGATAGAAACCTAGGCATTAGGTCGGGGAATTTTTATCGTGATGACGTGCACGCCACTTTGTTTGGCGTTGACTATATGCAAAGCGATAACTAACCGCTGTTACCGTTAGCGATCGATTGCCGGTTCGATAAGAGTGATGAAAGTCCGACACGCTGTTGTCATGTGTGTTTTAAATATTTAATGTAATGAAACTTACTGACTACAAATTTTGGCTTAACTTAGAAAAACTTAATGCCATTTATTTGTTAATTCCCCAATTTAAAAACGTTTTAGATTAGATTATAAAAATTAGTGAGATTGTGGTCGATATAAAGCACTTAAAGTTGTAAACTGTAAAGCCATTTAGACAAAAATCTATTGACTTTTGGACCATGGGTCATGTCACTTTTTGACTTGTTTTAACCCCCCCCCCCCTATTACCCATTTTAATAATGACTACCATAACGTTTACACCCTGTATTACAGGAGTTCAATTCTCTGAATGACTCGACGCCACCATCCGAAACGTTAGTAGAAAACAACGGTAGTAAAGAAGGAATAGTGTCTGGCGCGAAGAAAAAATCTCCCAATGGGGTGTGCTCCTTGGAGGGGGCAGGGGGAACAAAGAAGAAGATTAGGGTGAAAGGAGGCGCGAAATCGCCAGGGAAAGAATACTTCCACATATGGAATGCTTCGACGTCGCCGTCACCTGAAGAAGAAGGTAATTCAACATCAAACGTTTTTATTAGCTATATTTTTTTCAAATTACCTGTTCGCAGTAGACAAGCTTTTTATATGTCAGATTTGGTCCCTGTCTTTATCCATTTGTTTGGTTAGATCGCAAAGTGATCGACGTTCCCGATACCCCGGTTAATGTATGATGCAAATAATGGTTGTATTTTTCAAAATGTTCATTTCGTATCTATATTTTGCTTCATGAAAATTATATTCTAACGGATATCACTTTTTTCTCTGAACGATAATTGGAAAAAATTGCCCTACAAAGTTCAAACGTAAAATAAAGTGACAAATGATGAAAAGTGACATTATGTCGATTTTTTTAACATTGTATTGGTTTTTAGTGACATTGTGTAGGTTTTTCTACAAGATGGACTAGCTGATGGACACGTTGTGGACTCTTTTTGTAGTTGTACGTGTTGCCTAAACGTCATGATGCTTCACTTACCAATGTTTGGCTCTGTTGTGATGTAAAATCTGCTTCAGAGATGGCTTTACTGGAGTTAACGGCAATGCATAGATGCATAGTGAGGATTTGTGTTCTAATAATATGTGTTGATAATTTGATCGGATTCTTGTCTCAAATACACTTACTTGGGATTCAAAGCTAGAAATTTGTTGCGTATCGACTTAGAGAGATAAAAAATAATTATATTCACTGTACACTGTCGAATTACAAGTCATATACATGCTTACACTAATTACACACAACGCGGGCGCGGTGGTGATTTTCCGTAATTCTCCTCAAAGTTTTTGAAAACAAAAAAAAAAAAACGTAATAAATCGTGATTTATAACTTTGAACATAACCTGTCATCAGTAAGGACAACATATAAATAACCCGTCGGGCACAGCTAATATATGTATATTGGCAGCATATTCAGTAATGATTTTCTCACACAGCAAATATCATTGATTTTATACACATGCAGACCAATACACATAATCATCCTGATGCGATCTTGCTATTAAACCAACTTTCTTCTCAGAGATGAAAACTATAGACTACTCGGCTTAACAAAACATAGGCAACCAACAATGCGCGTAGTTGAGCTATTTCTCTATAGATGGACGCTCACAACGATCCTAGTGAGCAAACGTGGAATGACTGTTTGCATCCTAAAAACAACTACAAAATCGTAATTTACAACTTTGAACATAACCTGTGTTCAGAAAGGACAATATATAAATAACCGGTCGGGCACAGCTAATAGATATACTTCATTGGCAGCATATTCAGTAATGATTTTCTCACACTGATTTTATACACAAGCAGACCAATACACATTATTATTATTATTATTACTGTTTGTACCCTAAAAACCACCTAGTCTGCAAGATGACATTTTATAGATTTTTTGTCGTTTTATAGGATTTTACATAAAATAGTTTATTAGCCGCTTAAATGGGGACAAGTTGCGTATTTAACAAAATGCCGCTTAGAAGTTTTGAAATTCGAAGTACTTCTGGAGAGAGGGGAAACACCGAGTTTTCCCAAAATCGATTTAATGTTTCCTGATTTTATTCGTAGTAGGATTTCAAAATAAATTGTACATTAACATTGCCACATTTTTTTCATCACTTGTTCTCCAGCATTAAATTTGTTTTTTCTTGTGGAAGCCATATCACATTTATACACAGACGAATAGAGTTTTTAATTCTGATTAAAAAAACTTTGCCCCCATCTAAGTGACTTCATATCTCTTACAGTTTCCGTCATGAGGTTCGAATTTGAAACATCCGGTATACTATCTCGATGGATAAACTGCACCCTCTTTCAGAAATGGTCGATATTTCAGCTATCGAATAGATAACTTTGCCTAGGTACTCCATAAGATGAACGTTGGATGTTGTGCTGTTGCATAGCGAATATAGCATTATACATATTTGCATGAATATAAATATCCAGAAAGTGTAGTGTTTTATTGTTTCGTTTCGCTTGAATAGCGCTCTTGGGCTACTCGTGGGTTTGATCATGAACGCAATAAACTTTGACCAAAACAGTCGGTTACTTTACGATTTGAACAGTGATTCCTATATAGATTTGAAGACAATGTTGCTATATTCCATCTGTGCATTTTCCTTCCAGAAAGTCCAGTATGTCACATGTTATCAGAAAGTCCTTCGGACATCGTCGAAGCGCCTCCACTGCCACCTAGGGCTTCTCCTTCAACAGTTGTACCGCCGGTAGTACTTCACAGGCCCTTGGAAAGATCCCATGCCCTCGCCAGCCCTTTTTCTACGCCACCGGCTGTACATAGGCAAAATAAACCGCAGAAGAAACAGCAGCAACCAAGGCTGGAAGATACGTTTGGGTTTGAGATTATTGATACTGATGAGGAGTACAGGTAAGAGTTTTAGTCTAAAGTTGTTAGAGAATCGTTTTCTGTAATTTAATGGGAATAATGAAAAACGCGTCCACTATTCATAACGTTGGCGTATCTCTGAAGATAAATTTCGCTTTCGAGCAGGGCTGCCATGTTTTTAACTCAAAATCGACTAAATTTTGAAGCAATTCCGAAAAAGTAAAAAAAATAGTATTGCTGACGTAATCAGCATCAGCATCCAGACCATACCCCATGTCATCAAAAATAAGCAATACGTTGAATGTCCCCGTTGAGAAGAAATTATACTTTTACGAAATAGGATATACATATGAATTGGATTTTATCGACTCTCAGCAAACGTGTGCCAATGGGGTAATCTGGAAGGCGTTATTTAGGCTGGCTATCATGTCTTAAGTTATAAACAGCTTTCCTTTCTATGAAATCTGTCTCTTTCTCAAGTTTTGACAGATCGACCTCCAACCAAACTATCGCCGCCTAGGGGGAGTAAAATTGAACACTGCTGCCATTCTTTCTATAATGCTCCTGAAAATGCGTCTATTTTCTGTGAAATAATATGTAAGCTTGTACAAAAAATTCTATTTCACAGGGTTAGCAGTGCGAATGTCGCTGACTATATTAAAATTTCATAAAAACAGTAGCGGGTCTTAATTAAAAAAATCAACCCTGAAATTCATATTTTGAACGGCTTGATGGATTTCAGAATATGAGATGTCTAGATTTCTTTTGAAAGCACAATTAAATCTTGATTCTTTTCAGTTACTGCAGTTGGGTTGATTGTATTTTTGTAAAAATGTACTTGTTTATATAACTAAATGAGACATTATAAAATTAACATCGACTTTAGAGATGAAACTAATAGATGATGACGAGATTCCCCCACCCTCTCTCCTGCTATTTATCAAAAGAATCACACAGGGAGCGACTTTTCTTTTCGTTTTTTGAATGGTCATAGAACGTGAAGGTACCACCCGGCGGATCTCTTAAGTTGGGGCCAAAATGTCTGCATGTTGCATATATACAGGGTTATCCAAATTAAGTGTCCACCATTGGTAACTTTGTTATTAGTAAAAATACAAAGTTGTTTAAATTAGCAAACTAGTAGCATTTTTAACGCTGGTAAAAATGAGAAATAAAAAAAAACAATTGAGAGTCGTTATTTTGATTTGTTTCAGTAAAATAACATTTTTTTAAATGGAAACCCCTGTATATTATATTTTTTTCTGTTAAAGCATCAAATTTTAAACAAAAAAGTTCATAATGACTTTTCCGCTAAAGTCAAAAATAAAGTCAAAATAACGATAAATATTTTTAATTATTTGCAGTATTATAATATTAAGACGGCTATGAAAACAACATGGCGTTCGCGATTTGACAGCATTAAGATAAGCGACAAATTGTTAAACTGGACATACTCGCAACTAGAAGGCTTTGGAAAACAATGATAAAATCAAATAATGTCAAACATTAGTGTAAATACTTGTTTATAAGCTTTATTGTGTCATTAATTTAAAGAAAAATGTTCTCCCATGAAGAAAAGTGTGATATGTTAGAATGCTATTTAGTGTGCAGAAAATCCTCCTTGAGAGCAAGAGAATACTACAGTGAATTATATCCCGCTCGCATTCAACCGTATGAACGATATTTTCTGAGACTTTATCGAAAATTTAGGGGCAACGAAAATGTTTTTGCTAAAACAAGGGCAAAAAAAGAATTCATAATAAGCGAGGCCACGGAAATTGCAGTTATTGGATATTTTGAAGCTTATCGTGAGAATTCAATAGCAGATATTCTCAAGGACTCTAATTTCAGTTATGGTACTGTTCAAAGGATTTTAAAAAAATACAAATTTATTCCGTATAAGTACCCACCAGTTCAAACGCTTTTGGCAGGGGATCCAGAGAGAAGACTTGTTTTTTGCCATTGGTATCTTAGCTTCTGTCGCCAAAATGTAAATAACTTTCGTTATCTTTTATGGACAGATGAATCAAATTTTTCAAATTCTGGAATATTTAATAAAAAAAAACACCATTATTGGTCAAGAGAAAATCTTTTGTTAGTACATCCAAGAGGCCCACAAGTCCGTTTCAGTTTCAACGTTTGGTGCGGTATAATTGGTTCAAAAATTGTTGGCCCGTTCTTTTATGAGGGAACCCTAACTGGTGAAAGATATGTGGAATTTATGTCAGAAATTCTGACTAATTTCTTAGACGAATTGGATCTTATAAGTAGACATCATCTGCATTTTCAGCAAGATGGCGCACCTGCCCACAACTCCAGAGGTACTTATCATTTTCTAAGTACTACTTTTAATGATCAGTGGATAGGAACAAATGGCCCAATACAGTGGCCTCCCAGATCACCAGATCTAAACCCACTTGATTACTTCTTGTGGGGTTACTTAAAGAACCAAATTTACAAGCGAAGGTACGATAACCTTGACGCGTTAAAGACTGCAGTTAGGGAAAAGATAACCCAGATAGATGGTAGGACCATACTTAAGACAGTTCGAGCAGTTGAAAAACGTGCCCAAAAATGTATTGAAGAACAAGGTGGTGTTTTCGAGCATCTTCTTTAAAAAAAATTGTTATTGTATTTTGTAAGATTATACGTAAGTTGATGTTGAAATAAAGTTTGTCGATACAATTTAATTGTTTCAGATTGGAGGCCATAACTTCAACAATTTGTAACCTAGGAGAAAAGTTATTGTAAGCTTTTTTGTTTAAAATTTGATGCTTTAACAGAAAAAAATATAATATACAGGGGTTTCCATTTAAAAAAATGTTATTTTACTGAAAAAAATCAAATAACGACTCTCAATTGTTTTTTTTTTATTTCTCATTTTTACCAGCGTTAAAAATGCTACTAGTTTGCTAATTCAAACAACTTTGTATTTTCACTAATAACAAAGTTACTAATGGTGGACACTTAATTTGGATAACCCTGTGTAGCCCCACGGTACCCATGGGTGTGTAGGCCTTGGTACTTCGAGGTGGTTCAAGTACATATAAAGAACGACGATCTTATTTAGTTTACACCATTGTTTCCAAAAATTGACTGTCAGGGGGCTTTGTAAACAGTGAAATATTTCAATCTAACCACTGGCAATAGAAATCTTTCTGGTCCACTCACAGTTCAAACTTTTATTATAATCTGCTTCATTAGATTATGAAAAGTTGTAGTGCCACGATATTAAGGGTTTGCCTCAACAGTTGCTTGACAATATGTTGTGTGTTAGCAATTTTCCTTAATTAATTCTGAAGCATTGTTTCATTCATCTGCAGACGAAGCTTATTCACGACTTACTATAAAATTTAGCTCGTGGAAACTGGATTAATATCATTAACGACTATATGTCAATGCTCTATTAATATTTGAAGCTTACACATTTATATTCTTTCAGGTCTTTTGGTACAGCATCAACAGCATCTTCTTTGTCTGACGTTGAAATGACCAGTACTCCAACTCATAAACTGAAGGCTGCTTTTGCTGAAAACGGCAAGAAACTTATTGGTTGTGATAATTATATAACGACAGTGCTAAGTAAAAGTAAGTAATCTCAACCACAAATAGGTTTGAACTGTTTCATTTAAGACAGCGCTGTTTCGTGCTCGTTAGCAACTCATCAGTGCGGTTTAGGTTTAGTCTTTGAGACATACGAACGGGGAGCAAATAAATGCAAAATGTTTCATTAGAGGTTTGTTCAAATACATCTCAAAAAATATTGTCTACCATGATAATTTATCATTTTTCTGTGAGCCTCAATATTGTTCTCCATCATGGCTTCCAGCGTCTCGAGAAGGCAAAATGGCCGGAAATTGGATAAACACATGTATTCAGTCGTCAGAACAACGTTAGGATCTAAGTATTTTATTTTGTACCGTTTCAAGAGCACTCATCCCAGAGTAAAGCATGGAATTAAAACGATTTAGTCTTGAGTCTTAAGAATGATTATCTTATTTGATGACCTTATTAGACTCTTTAAAAGCAGTATTAAATGCTGAACAGTTCTTAAGTTCTGGCAGTATATCTCCAGGTAACTTTAAAACCTATAATCTTTTTACCACAACAAATCCATTTAACCCTCAAATACTAGTTTTTTTCTGTTAGGTTATCCCAGGTTTTCGTTAGGTTTGTCCACTTTTTTCCGTTAGGTTTGTCCATCTTTTTCGTTGGTACTATCCCACTTTTTTCGTTAGGTTTGTACTACCTTTTTGGTTAGGTTTGTCCCACTTTATTCGTTAGGCTTGTCCCACTTCTCCGTTAGGTTTATCCTAAGTTTTCGTTGAGTTTGTCCCGATTTTTTTCGTTAGGGTTGTCCACATTCTTCGTTAGGTCTGTCCTACTTTTTTTCGTTAGGTTTGTCTCACTTTTTTTTTCTTTAGGTTTGTCCCACTTTTTTCATTAGATTTGTCCACTTCTCCGTTAGGTATCCCAGGTTTTTCGTTGGGTTTGTCCCAATTTTTTTTGGGT